CAAACCAAAACTCATAAAATAGGTGTTCTTTGCATCGCAGATGAGTTGCGACAGCAGCTTCGCGTGAAGAATATATCAGTGATGTTGATCGTGTCTGTCTACCTTTCACAGCCTTCAAACTGTTGATTTAGTCATTAGGTGTAATTATTAAGGACAATCAAGACCTTCCTTAACACCTGTAACGAAAAAAATACAGGATACAGTTTGCCGCGTCTTTAGCAAAGCTGTCTCTTGCAGCAAGACCATTATTTATGTATTTACCACGAACTAAGCTTGCATGCACAGTGTCATTGAGCTCCAGGGTGCAATTAATAGCACTAGTCTATAAAGTTGATGCTTTGGCCAAAATTTTCAATTCTATGAAAGTACTGTGTAGTGTTGTTTTAATTAAATAAAACAGGCCAAATATCTTATTTAAGCTTTTAATAGCGAGATCATGTGGAAAAAGTACTTCAGCAAGAAAGCGGAAGGACTGCAGGTCTTCAAATGGATGATGTTATACCACGGTGCTCCTTCATTTAGATCATGCCACATTTTATTAATTTATTTATTTATTGGTTTATTCATTCCAGGCTTCTCTGCAATTAAGAAAACATACTCATTCAAGTCTAAAGGCACTTCCAGACCAACACTCACTCTCATAACCCAAACGGTTGCACGTCCAGCATATAAGAAATTAGTCAGTGGCAGCAATTACAAGTGGCATCGTTGAACTGTTGCAAAAGCAAAATGATTTGTTTTGAACCTACACCAGCCAACCACAAAATTATGACCATGTGCGCAATATAAGGACAGTACAAGAGCGATATAAAGCAGTCTGCCTCGACAGAGAATAAGGTTACATTTTAACCGACACTGTCATAAAGTTGTGAAATGAATCAACCAGTGTGTTTGTCGTTGTAGTCGAAGTCTCCAATTGTGTGGAAGTGGTAGTCTAAATGGGACTGAAAAAGCTACTGATAGTTATGATTATAGTGGCAGCATTGTCTTATACATATGAATGATACACCATCAACTGCAATCATACAATGTGTTCTCCGGTCATGTTGTCATTTGTATTGTGCTTGTGCCCCCAAGCAGTGATGATGCAGGTGATGGAGAGCTGCATTTAGTCAATGAGTACACAAAGAACCCTGTTGTTTGAAGCTTTCCATAAAATGGAATAGCGAGTGAAATATTAGTGTCAATGAAACCTTGCCTAATTGCTTTGCAAGATTAAATTGGCAGAGAATCCCAACAGTGGGAAGCTATTGTTCCAGATAGGGGACCTACAATTAAGGCTGATGAATATGGCTAAGGGAGTTCAATCAGCATTGCATCATGAATAAATGGAAAAGTTAAACCATAAATCAGTTTAAGTTGGTCAATAAGAACAAAGTCTTGTAACACAAAAAGCTCTTCAAATCAAATGACATTAAATTTATTACATGACATATTCTGTTGTCAAGAGATTCAAAGGCTGATAATCATATGCAAGTGTTTCATTTCTTCCAGAAGGCATTCCAACAAGAGTCCCAAAGATTTTTATGAATTCAAATGGATGAAATTACTAAGGGCAAGAAAGCTAACAGCAAGATGTCTGCAATTTGTGTTGGAAAATACTCTCCACTGTATCTGTAACCTGTACCATACAACCAAGCCTATGTACGTCAAGCCTCACTGGAGCGGAATTATCATTATTTTAACTCATGCAGCATTAAAGCGACAAACATACAAAATATAGTTGGAACTCGGGATAGCAATTGCTCAGATGCCATTGGGGCAATCACTGAATATGTAACAGAACGAATGAGGAGAAAATTAAACGAAAGTATGAAAGCACTTGGGCAAGTGCTTTCATACTTTCGTTTATTACGCGCGTCTATTTAGAAGCACTTGTCTTCATCTTCACGAAGATACAAAACCAACTACTAGCAGATCCATTCAAATAGTTCATTCATGCTTCAGTGAGTGTGTTGTGGTAGATGAACGACTTCCATGACCCTTAATGTGCATGCATTTTGTAAAAAAGGGCAACAAATGGCTTGGGGGTTTTCTGGTCCTGTCAAGGTCACACAGGTCACCATGTGCGTTGGTAAAATGGAAGTAGAACATTTACCATATTCCATTGCTAGAGCGAAATGTATCGTTATTAATTGCACAAAGGCTGTCCAGCCTCTGATCTTTGGCTTCGCTGATAGACTGCGTAGTATTGTAGATTAGGTCTGCGGGGTCATAGTCAAAACAAAATTGTAATAACGTACTTTAAAACATTATGTTTCCAGAGGTCAAAAATAACAAAACAGAGCAATTGCTTTTGGAGTGTTTTCGGTGCTGTGTAGTGGTACACTAGGCTGACTCATGAGCGGGTAGCGTGGGATCGGTTCCCACTTACTGAGGGTGTGGATGTGGGTGTGAATGGTTGTTTGTCTCTATATGTGCCCTGTGGCTGACTGGCGACCAGTTCGGTGTCGTCTGCCTTTCACCCAAAGTTAGCTGGGATAGGCTCAGCATCAGCTGCAACCCTGTTCAGGATAAGCAGGGTTGAAAATGCATGGATGGATGGGCGCTGTATTTTATTTTTTTCTTTGGATGAGCTTTGAGTGAATGTTCACCTCTGGAGCTCAGACACAGTGAGGAGGAGGAGTAGAGGCAATTTTTTTTTGCAGATAACAGACAAATGTGGCACAAAATATCCCATCATCCTCATGAGGCCTGTGCTGGTGTGTCTTTGTATTTGATCTGCGCAGATCTAATTTGTGTTCAACAGCATCACGAATGCGTTAATGGAATTTTAATGGTCACGCTCTGAAAACTGGAGTTGATTGTGATTGTCGAGTGAGCCTTTATAGTCCGCACAGAAGTTATACAGCCTCTTCTCACTACGGCTGGGTGATATGACCCAAAATTCACATCACAGTATCAATTGCATCTCTTTGTGGTATCGGTATATATGTCGATATAAAATTAAGCGTAAAAATACATTAAAATAATAATTTTTTCATTTTTACATCCATCCATCCATCCATTTTCTGAACTGCTTTATACTCACGAGGGTCGTGGGTATGCTGGAGCTTGCACCAGCTGTCTTCAAACCCTGCACCTCTGCACTGTGATGCAGATGTGCTTACCAGTCGACCACCGTGGGTGTACAATTTGAGCATTTCTCTCACACTGAGCAGTGCTCAGGGAAGGTGTTAGATACAAAGATGTAATCAACATGCATTACCACAATCGTATGGTACGGTCAAAATCAAAGTTCCCTCTAAACTGCCCTCGTGAGTAATTCTGCACATCTCTCACCCTCTCAATACACACAATGACACTGGCGAGCACCACACACATTGTGATATTTATACTCTCATTCCTTCATTTCCACCCCAGTTTAATCAACAAACAGGACACCACACCATTCCCACTTCCCTTACTGTTTCAGTAGCGAAGGGTGCAGACTCAGTTGTTATGTTATAGTTTACTTTGAAGCATACATTGACACAAACTAACACTCAGTCACCAATGAGAAGATGCTGTAGGTGACACGCGGACCATTTCATTTAGGAAGTCCAAACATGGCCCTATTTCTACTGTTTCAGAGGTCAATTGACTCCCAATTTTTTTCGAAGTTTTATTAAATTATGTTTTCTATTGTTCATGTGTGCACAATGTGGAATCATATTTATACAGATTGTATTGAGACTTAATTAATTCAGCTTAAAATTGCCTGTGTGCTGAAATAAAAGTAACAAACTGGGGTTGATTGTATTCATGTCACAAATGTCTATCAATGATATGTTCTATTTTGATAAATAGGTGTTTAGAATCGTTTTGGGGTTTTATGACTTTATATAACTTGTTCGCATGATCGCAGATTTTGAACAGGTGTGATACTGTTTTGGTCGCCATGTGCAAATCTAATGTGGCTCACCATAGTCCAAGGATGCTCAAAGAGCTTGTGTATATGCTCATACACATGGAAAATTCAAGAGAACATTATTACAAATCTTTACCTTTTGGCAAATTCATACCTTTGAATATACCGTCTATATCGTGCACCCTTTCCACTGTATGCTCTCCTTTTCTCACCTCACATAAACATTTTAAATTAGAATCTGACATGCACTTATTGGCCGCTATTTTCATGTCCAGCGCAAATCTAGCACATGGGTGGAGTTTTCTCTCTTTTTGTATTTTTTGCAAACGAGAACAATTAGAAACGGGTGTTTGCGCTGTTGTAGGTGTAAACACCTCTGACTCATTTTCCAACCAATGGAATTTGCTCCTCTTTAAAATCAGTACGTGATAGGCACACAGTCTTTGACATTTCGGAAACAGAAATAGAATCACTGGAGTCCATGAAGAAGATTGAAACTCGCAAGGTACAATTATAATTAACTGCAAGCAGACCTCCACAGGTGGATGATGTAAAGTTGGCCAGATTGATCACAAATCACCGCTGTGAAATGGGCACTTGGAGACCGTGTTCCATCCCCGTGACATATGCTGTTGCGAGGGTGATTTTAAAGGTACAATAAAATTTATAATAATTTTGTTGTTCTACTTCTTCCATTCATAACTTTGCTGCTGTGAATTGGGAATTTCTCCATTGCGAGACTAATAAAGGTTTTCTTATCTTATCTTAATGTACTGATTTCGACAACTCAGTGGTGTCAATGAATACTGTTATATTTATGAATGGAATGCGATGACAGCCACCACACATATCCGTACAGCTCAGAATCTGCCTGCACCTCGCTCAAATTCCACAAATGGTGTCACATCACCTGCGTCACAACTTAGACCTGCTTCTAGCTAGTCCAAAGTTAAATCTACTTTCAGCCACCAAATAGTCAGGTGTGCCGGGTGCGTGTGATAGACAACGCCCTTGGTCCACTGGAACGCCGAGCATGGTGCCCTACGGCACATTTCACCTCTACAAAAGTAGAGCCCATTATAATTCTTTTGTTAAGGTTTGTGTTTGCAAATTTCAGCAGCTGTATTTCGTCTTCTTTAAACCAGCTTACCTGCTAACGAGAAGCACAGAGAAAAAGGTCCCTGCAGATACAAATAGACCCATGGCTGCAGAGGAAGTAAGAAGCTGAAGAGATTGGGATCTGGAGCAAGAAACACAGAAGATATTAGCATACAAGTTAGCATGATGCAAGACTTGATAGATCGTGTTGCCTTTTAAAATAATACTGTTGTCTGCAGTTAAAAAAAATGACGCAAGAAAGTGCTTGTGCTTAACAACAGCCTCGAAAATCCCACGGTTATTTCAAAACAAATTCAGAAACCAGGCATCACAAACAGTCTGCTGATTGCTCAAAATATCGTCAAATATACATTAGTTTAGCTCAAATGAAAGAAAAGAATGGCCCCTGGCTGTCTGATGACCTCAAAAGACCCCGTATCTTTATGCATGTACCTTATACAGCAGTGAGATACAATGTTGGCATGCCTTTGGGATATTCCCTATATAGCATAATGACATGTTGTTAATGACTTCTCTGTCTGTGAAGCCTGTGTGGCTCAAGGCCACGGTCACGTCTTGCTCCAAAAGCGAAAAGGAGCAGTGCAGTTTCCGCCAAGTGGGTGTCAGAAGTCTCAGAAGATGAAAGTAATCAGAAAAGCTTCCGAGAGTTTTCTGCTCACCACTTGTGCGGACTCCCGTAGAAGGCATATTTGGCAAAGGAAATATCGACAGATGTTACTTCATGTTGAATGTACATATATGGCAACCGCAGGTTAAATGTAGTGTAGACAAACAATTATTTCCACTCTCTTCCACAACAAAAAACAATGTAGATTCTTCAATTAACAATGCTGTCTGTTTTTGGAATATGGACGAAAACAATGTTTTGTAGAATTGTGAATTATATCAAATAGGATGGCCAAGTCCCGAACCATTTTCTGACAAAGTGTCCTCTTGTGTAAAGCAATCGCTTCAGATGTGTCTAACTTATTTTGAAATTACTTTTTAAGGCTATCGCTGACCTGAAAATTTATCTGCAAGTACCTTAACATAAATTAACGTTTTGCATGATCTGACAAGAAATGTTGGGGGAAAAAAAAAAACAAAAAAAAAAAACTAGTTATTTATTTATGTATTTATTCATGTATTCATTCTTTAAGCCTTTGGAGTCTCTGGGCATGATTTTTGTAGAGAGGAGCCCGTGTGCTTGGCGTAAAAAATGGGCACAACTTCATTTTTGTGCCGGGGCAAGTCTAATTTAAGGTGTTTGTGAATTTAGTAGGCGACACAGTGCGTTGCTCGGTGGTCCGCCGGCCCGAAGGCATTTTCTACTACCCTCCCTTGGCTCACCCCCCAATTTGGTAAGAAAGAAGAGACTAAATTTTAGACGACCTAAAAGTAAGTCTAAGTTGTGGCGCAGGAGGGGTCATGAGATAAAACGAATGAGATTTTGCTGTATTTGATAGAGGTGCAGGCAGACAGATTCGTCACGCTGTAGATGTATGTGGTGGATGTCATTGTATTTCCTTCATATATATGACAACAGTGTGTGTGTGTGTGTGTGTGTGTGTGTGTGTGTGTGTGTGTGTGTGTGTGTGTGTGTGTGTGTGTATATGGCTAAAGTATTTTTACACTGTTGGCTATGAAGACTTTTAAAATGTTAAAAATGCTTTTTGTTTTGTTAATAGAGATTATGACTATGAGTATGTAATGGTGACAGTGTGTCCCAGGGAGGAAATTCCTATCTGTGAAAAAATACGTAATGAAATGTTTGGGAAGGTCCCACTTTGCTCCAGAAACAACTCAATGCATCAATTCATGCACTTGGAAAAGAAAAAAAACTTGATTCCTTTCACACCACAAATAACACATGTGCTAGAAAAGCTTCATTTGTATGTTGCATGTTAGTTACTGTATTTATTTTTAAAGACATAAATGATCATAATAAATCAAATGTAGTACAAATAATTATTTTCCTCACAACTAGTTTGTGTTCACATTTAACTTCTTTATCTTCAAGCGAGACAATGACTTTTCTCGGGGGTAATGAACATACAGGCACACAGATAGTGAATACTTGGGAACCGATGATGCAAGAAATCCATATTCTGCTAATTCAATTGTGGACAAGGGAAGGGGTGCACAAACCATTCCGCCCCACCGTTCTGAGTTTTCTGCTTGCAGAAGTGTATATGTTACCTGTTTCGTTGGGTGATGTGCAGCAACAATATGCACCAGAGTGCAAATGTAGTTCCATCATCATGATAAGTATCATAAATTGAAAAAAATAAAGTAAAAACTAGATAAGAAGTGATTTACGTCCATCCAATTAACTCTCTGATTGTGTTTAGCTGTTAAATCCTATCATTCTGATTAGAAGTGCAAAGATTTATCAATTAATGGAAAACTAATTATCAAATTCATGAATAATTATTTTTTCTAACTGATGATTCGTTTAGATACCTTTTTTGATTTAAAATTATCCAAATGTGTTTTCCTTGTGTTGAATCAAAATATAATTTTTGCTTTTACTTTGGAAAGCAATGACCAACATTTCTGACTTGTTCCATACCAAACCAGCAACTGACCCATCATTAATTTTTGGTTGCGCATTTTCAATACTGTCAATCTGGATGGACATTTAAACATGTTTTTAATCCGATTAATCAATGAATTGATGAAATAATCAAAAGATTTATCCATCCATCCATCCATTTTTCAATCCGCTTCTCCTCACAAGGGTCATGGGGGGTGCTGGAGACTATCCTAGCTGTCTTCAGGCAGTAGGCAGAGACACTCTGAACTGGTTGCCAGCAAATCGCAGGGCACACAGAGACAAACAACCATCCACACTCACACTCACACCGAGGGACAATTTAGAGTGTTGCATTAACCAACCATGCATGGTTTTGGAATGTGGGAGGAAACCGGAGTAGCCGGAGAAAACCCACGCAGGCTCGGGGAGAACATGCAAACTCCACACAGGGAGGCCGGAGCTGGAATTGAACCCGGTACCTCTGCACTGTGAGGTCGGCATGCTAACCACCCAACCACCGGGCCACCCCGAAAGATTCATCGATTATTAAAGTAATTGTTAGTTGCAGCACTAATGCTATTATTTCAGCTTCAACTGAGGTATGTGCCCATCCGACGGTGAGCCTCCCGAGAGTTGGATCACTACGGCTGTGAAAATCAATGTGGTGGAGGCAGCTCAATACTGCACACTGTAAATAGTCAAGTAATGCAGGAGAGAGTGACATTAGCTTTGGAGAAACATTTTGACACATACTTTGAAATCAATATTTGTGTAATAGGGCTATACATAATGAATGATCATCCACCTTGACGCAAGGAGGGGGACTACACAAATCTGCATTTGTTCTTTTTTCACACTAGAGAGCAGCATGTGTCAGACACAATGGAGCCCATAACAAACTGTAGTAAAGATATGTGATATGTGACAAACCACAGACCTGCATCTGCTCTATTAGAATGACCAGCTACAAGAGAAGTGTCACATTTTAAGAGTGGGAGTCTATCGTCAGTGGACATTTTGATTTAAAGCAGACTTGAAAAAGGGCATAAAGAAATACAATATATGTCAGGCAGAAATGAGTCACTCATATTTCTTTCTCATAGACACATACTGTATGAGTCACATCTGGCCTCAAAATATTCTATATTACTCAGTTATTGTCATTTCTACACTTTACAGCTGCAATTAAAAATGAATCCCTGAGTGGTTGTGTCAGAGCTTAAATGGCTCCAACCATATAATAGTAAGGTCGAGAAAATCACCATTGAATACATTTGAGTAAAGACCTGCTCTGCCTCAGCAGTTAGACTTCAACCAAAGCCATTCCGCAATGGCAATTGCAATCCAGCCTAAATAGTTAACAACTAACCGAAGACACAAACGGTGAGAAACAAGATGAGCTGAAGACACAATTTCATGTAAAGGAAACCAGGCATCGTTCACCACTTGGCTTATACCGGAGGCATGGTGGTGGGAGGAAGAGAGGCGCGGAATAGCCAGAGCCTTAAGTAAAAGCTGATTTGACATGTGTGGGGACTTCAAAATGTCCGTCCATTTCAATTCCGCAACTTGATGAAGTTGGAGGTGATGTGAAGAAAAGAAATGTTTCAATCTCTGCGTGAAGTGTGGAGCATGATTTCCAAAAAGACTGAATTCACTCTAAACGGTTTTCCTCTGTGGATGGGGAAATTATTCATAAAAAGCCATTTTAATTTGGTGCTATTCATGCGTAAATCGATAATGAGTGTTTTTGCTTTAATGTGAAAGGAGATTTGAATGTCCAAGGCTTAGAACCGCAGACAAAGGATGATGCATAGCTCACACCCTTAATCCGATGTGACTTTTTTTTTTTTTTGAACTCCTCAGCATCCCCACATCTAAGCTTTGGCCACATTTCTTTGACAAGTAATCCTTGAAAACGAAAGCCTGGGGGAAACCTGCTTCTCTGAAGAAGAATCTGGAGACTTTGACATCGAGGTGGAAAATGCCAGAAGGATTTATGTCATTGTGAAGCTCTACTTCAAACAAACCTGTGGTGTCCTCATTGACGATTTCACTGCATGCAAGTGTCAGAAAGTGAATAGCATACGGTCTCCGACTGACATCAATAATGTGCTTGGGGTGAGCTCCCCATTCAGATAACACTGAGTAGGCTAATTCTCATGTGCATCTTGCAAGTCTAAGTACAGAAAACAGTCAACAAGGAGCCGAAGGGACAATTTTGATGGATGAGATCCAGCATCTATCCATTCATCCATTTTCTATAACGCCTGCCCTCTTTAAGAATGTATCTCACTGAGCGACGAAGGTTTGCGCAAACATTGAATGTTGTTTTTTGGTCAGGGTTCCTTCAAAGTTGGAAACAGTTGCAAAAATGTTCGCCGGACATTTCCAAACAGTTGTAATGGTTGCAATATATACTGCTCAAAAAAATAAGAGGTAACATTTAAACAGCACAATGTAACTCCAAGTGTTGCCTTTATTTTTTGAGCAGATAATATCCATCCATCCATATTCCAATCCGCTTATCCTCACGAGGGTCGCGGGTGCGCTGGAGCCTATCCCAACTGACTTCGGTCGGTAGGGGGGTACTCCCTGAACTGGTTTCATTTCTACACTTTACAGCTGCAATTAAAAATGAATCCCTGAGTGGTTGTGTCAGAGCTTAAATGGCTCCAACCATATAATAGTAAGGTCGAGAAAATCACCATTGAATACATTTGAGTAAAGACCTGCTCTGCCTCAGCAGTTAGACTTCAACCAAAGCCATTCCGCAATGGCAATTGCAATCCAGCCTAAATAGTTAACAACTAACCGAAGACACAAACGGTGAGAAACAAGATGAGCTGAAGACACAATTTCATGTAAAGGAAACCAGGCATCGTTCACCACTTGGCTTATACCGGAGGCATGGTGGTGGGAGGAAGAGAGGCGCGGAATAGCCAGAGCCTTAAGTAAAAGCTGATTTGACATGTGTGGGGACTTCAAAATGTCCGTCCATTTCAATTCCGCAACTTGATGAAGTTGGAGGTGATGTGAAGAAAAGAAATGTTTCAATCTCTGCGTGAAGTGTGGAGCATGATTTCCAAAAAGACTGAATTCACTCTAAACGGTTTTCCTCTGTGGATGGGGAAATTATTCATAAAAAGCCATTTTAATTTGGTGCTATTCATGCGTAAATCGATAATGAGTGTTTTTGCTTTAATGTGAAAGGAGATTTGAATGTCCAAGGCTTAGAACCGCAGACAAAGGATGATGCATAGCTCACACCCTTAATCCGATGTGATTTTTTTTTTTTTTGAACTCCTCAGCATCCCCACATCTAAGCTTTGGCCACATTTCTTTGACAAGTAATCCTTGAAAACGAAAGCCTGGGGGAAACCTGCTTCTCTGAAGAAGAATCTGGAGACTTTGACATCGAGGTGGAAAATGCCAGAAGGATTTATGTCATTGTGAAGCTCTACTTCAAACAAACCTGTGGTGTCCTCATTGACGATTTCACTGCATGCAAGTGTCAGAAAGTGAATAGCATACGGTCTCCGACTGACATCAATAATGTGCTTGGGGTGAGCTCCCCATTCAGATAACACTGAGTAGGCTAATTCTCATGTGCATCTTGCAAGTCTAAGTACAGAAAACAGTCAACAAGGAGCCGAAGGGACAATTTTGATGGATGAGATCCAGCATCTATCCATTCATCCATTTTCTATAACGCCTGCCCTCTTTAAGAATGTATCTCACTGAGCGACGAAGGTTTGCGCAAACATTGAATGTTGTTTTTTGGTCAGGGTTCCTTCAAAGTTGGAAACAGTTGCAAAAATGTTCGCCGGACATTTCCAAACAGTTGTAATGGTTGCAATATATACTGCTCAAAAAAATAAGAGGTAACATTTAAACAGCACAATGTAACTCCAAGTGTTGCCTTTATTTTTTGAGCAGATAATATCCATCCATCCATATTCCAATCCGCTTATCCTCACGAGGGTCGCGGGTGCGCTGGAGCCTATCCCAACTGACTTCGGTCGGTAGGGGGGTACTCCCTGAACTGGTTGTACAGCCAATTGCAGGGCACACATAAACAGACAAATATTCGCATTCACAATCACAGCTATGGACAGAGTGATCAATTAATCTACCTTCATCATGTTTTTGGAATGTGAGAAGAAAAACCGGAGTACCCGGAAAACATGCACACCCATCGAATCTAATCCATGACCTCTGCATTGTGAGGGATGTGCTAACCAATCAACGACTGTGCCCCCTTTTTTTATGTACATATATA